ACTAGAACTCACCGTCTCCTGGTGATTGGCCCAAGGTCACCCAGCCGGCTTTCATGCCTAAGGCGGGACTAGAACTCGCCGTCTCCTGGCGATTGGCCCAAAGTCACCCAGCCGGCTTTCATGCCTAAGGCGGGACTAGAACTCGCCGTCTCCTGGCGATTGGCCCAAAGTCACCCAGCCGGCTTTCGTGCCTAAGGCGGGACTAGAACTCACCGTCTCCCAGTGATTGGCCCAAAGTCATCCAGCCAGGTTTCATGCCTAAGGTGGGACTAGAACTCACCGTCTCCCGGTGATTGGCCCAAAGTCATCCAGCTGGCTTTCATGCCGAAGGCGGGACTAGAACTCACTGTCTCCTGGCGATTGGCCCAAAGTCACCCAGCCGGCTTTCATGCCGAAGGCGGGACTAGAACTCACCGTCTCCTGGCGATTGGCCCAAAGTCACCCAGCTGGCTTTCATGCCGAAGGCGGGACTAGAACTCTCCGTCTCCTGGTGATTGGCCCAGCTGGCTTTTATGGCTAAGGTGGGACTTGAACTCGTTTCCTGGGGATGGGCAGAAAGGCAGGGGTCCTGGCATCCAAGGACCGCTCTTTGGTGCCCATGGTGTGCAAAGGACTGATTGCCAGAGACACAGGACAGGGGTCTTCATGGAGACCCCTAGCTGGCCTCTGGTGGGACAGGAGACCTGGATTTGGCCTGTCCAGCTGGTCCTCCTCTGACCTGGAGATGGTCGGTTTAACCCAGGGGTAGTCAACCTTGGCTCTTTTATGACTCGTGGACTTCAACTCCCAGAATTCCTGAGCCAGCTGTGCTGGCTCAGGAATTCTGGGAGTTGAAGTCCACGAGTCATAAAAGAGCCAAGGTTGACTACCCCTGGGTTAACCTCTGCTTTGAATGACCTGCACGGGCTTTAATGTGACACCTTCCCCCCCTCCAGTCTGGGGGATGTGGGTGAAGAAGGAGAGTGCAAAAGTCGGCTTGAAACTCAACCTTAAGAAAACCAAGATCGTGGCATCCAGCCCTCTCAATTCCTGGCAAAGAGATGGGGAAGAAATGGAGGTAGTGACCGATTTTATTTTCCTGGGCTCCAAGATCACCCCAGATGGGGACTGCAGCCAAGAAATCAAAAGACTCTGGCTCCTGGGGAGGAAAGCCATGGCAAATCTAGACAGCATCCTAAAAAGCAGAGACATCACCCTGCCAACAACAGTGTGTAGAGTCAAGGCCATGGTTTTCCCAGTTGCAATGTAGGGCTGTGAAAGTGGGACCATAAGAAAGGCTGAGAAGGGCCAAAGAATGGAGGCCTTTGAACTCTGGTGCTGGAGAAGACTCCCGCGAGTCCCCTGGACTGCAAGGCGATCCAACCGGTCGGTCCTAGAGGAGATCAACCCCGACTGCTCTTTAGAAGGCCAGATCCTGAAGTTGAAACTCAAGTCCTTTGGCCACCTAATGAGAAGGAAGGACTCCCTGGAGAAGAGCCTCATGCTGGGAAAGATGGAGGGCAAGAGAAGAAGGGGACGACAGAGAAGGAGGTGGCTGGATGGAGTCCCTGAAGCAGGAGACGTGAGCTTCAAGGGACCCCAGAAGATGGCAGAGGACAGGAAGGCCTGGAGGAACCTTGTCCATGGGGTCGCGATGTGTCGGACACGACTTCGCAACTAACAACAACAACAACAGGATCCTGGTTTAAGGGTCTAACCTTGCAAGCCCGTCTTGCAATAATGCTGACTGAGTTATGAATCCGTGGAGTGGGGAGGGCTGCTGCCACTGCTGTCTTCTGTCCAGCTACTGTATGTTGATTGCATTTTAATTGCCACGTTAATTGGGCCTGGCTGCTTCCAAGGATGATCACAAATCTCTGTCTGCTTTGATGCTAGACCTTCTTAGCTTCTCCTTCAAGGCAGCATGTAGAGGTTGCCTTTCCCCTGGACTAGGAACTTCAGCCAGAGAAGTCTCCTGTTTTATTGGCAATATATGTTTAGTATAACAAAATAGCAGAGCTGGAAGGGACCCTGGAGGTCTCCTAGACCAACCCCTTGCTCAAGAGGAGAACCGTCCTATACCATTCCTGACAAATGACTGTCCAGTTTCTCCTTAAAAGCCTTAAAAGCAGAGGTCCTCCTGATCCATGCCCACCTGCAATGGAGAAGCCCAGTTGAAGCACCCACAACTTCTGGAGGCGAGGAGTTCCACTGGTTAATTGTTCTCCCTGTCAGGAAGTTTCTCCTTAGTTCCAGGTTGCTTCTCTCCTTGATGGGTCCTTCACTTACGACCGTAACAGACCCTGCCCATTATGGCCATAAGTCATGATGGTCGTAAAGCTGGTCCCTCACCTGACCTACCTGATTTTATGGCCTTTTTTGCAGCAGTCGGTCGTTAAGAACCATTAACCAGTGGAGCAATCTGCCTCCAGAAGTTGTGGGTGCTCCAACACTGGAGGTTTTCAAGAAGAGCCTGGACAGCCATTTGTCTGGAATGGGAATAGGGCCTCCTGCCTGAGCAGGAGGTTGGACTAGATGACCTCCAAGGTCCCTTCCAGCTCTGTCATTCTGTCATTCTGCAACCAAGGAATGCAGATTTAATGAGTGGACAAGCAAAGTCCGAAGGGACCAGAGACAGTGGTTGCCCCTAACTCTTTCTGCTTCTCTCTCTCTCTCTCTCTCTCTCCTCTCTCCTCTCTTTTCTTTTCTGCCTCTTCTGTCTCCTCTCTTCTTTATCTCTGTTCTTTCCCCCCCTCTCTTTTCTATTCTCTCTCTCTCCTGTCTCATCTCACTTTTCTCTCTTTCTTCTCTCTCTCTCCTTCTCTCTCTCCCTCCCTCTCTCTTTTTCTCTTCTCCCTCTCTTCTTTCTCCTCTCTTCTTTCTCTGTTCTCTCCTCTCTCTCTCTGTTCATCTCACTTTTCTCTCTTCTCTCTCTCCTTTCTCCTCTCTCCCTCCCTCCCTCTCTCCCTCTCTCTTTTTCTCTTCTCTCTCTCTCTTGTCTCTCTTCTCTTTGTCTCATCTCTCTCTGTCTCTTCTCTCTCTTCTCTTCTCTCCTCTCTCTTTTCTTTTCTGCCTCTCTTCTGTCTCCTCTCTTCTTTGTTCTCTCCTCTCTCTCTTTTCTCTTCTCTCTCTCCTGTCTCATCTCACTTTTCTCTCTCTTCTCTCTCTCTTCTTTCTCCTCTCTCTCTCCCTTTTTCTCTTCTCTCTCTTCTGTCTCATCTCTCTTCTCTTTGTCTCATCTCTCTTCTTTCTCCTCTCTTTCTCCCTTCCTCTCCCTCTCTCTTTTTCTCTTCTCTCTCTCTTCTGTCTCATCTCTTTTCTCTTTATCTCTTCTCTCTCTTCTTTCTCCTCTCTTTCTCCCTTCCTCTCCCTCTCTCTTTTTCTCTTCTCTCTCTCTTCTGTCTCATCTCT